ATGGTATCTTTAACACATTCCTAAAGCTTATAATATGGATGACAGCTGTATTCAAGGAATGATTTCATGAGGTTTGGGTAACGTGGATACACAAATGGGTAATAAACAGGAAAGATAGAAATCAGTGCTTGCTAACTTTGAACTCAAAGAAACTATGCAAAATATTATTCATTGTCAAGCTATTCAAAAGGGAGAATAACAACAATCAACAAATTAAATTTTAATCTCCTTAGAAACTTGTCAAGACAATCCTGTTCATTTAGCAATTGAAGAGAGTGGATTTTTGTTTGTTTGGTTTGGATTTAGTCTTGTTTTACAAATGTAGAATGAATACTTACAGGGGAACAAAGACATTTATAGACAGGCATTTGTCTATTGGTAGCAAATGGAACCAACCAAGACAATTAATACAAAACAGAATAGCTACAATTCAATCTTGGAAGCAGCATGTCTAATGTGTACAATGGTGAAAATGATTCAGGAAGTTTTAGTCCTGCAAAGAATTATATTATTATTACAGTAAGTAATTAACCTCTTGCTATTATCTAATGATAACATGCCCATATTAAAAAAAAACTTTTCTTAGAATGTTGATTCATTGTATATTTTTTTTTCATAGACACAAACTTTCATTAATGCTGTAAGAGTTACCAGATGTATTTTCAGCCCCATCTATTTTAAAAAAAGATGGGTGATGGAAATTGTGGGATTACAGATAATAAAACTTGGAAGCATTCAATTGGTTGTTTTTCTTAGCATTAGAGTAGCATACAGGGCTCTTTCCCTTCCAGTCAGAATAATTAAAGAACATTATAGTAAAATGTTTCTGTAATTCATACATGCTATTCAGTGAAACAGTCTTATTTGTTTGAAACCCAAAATCACCATAAAAGCACAAAAGGTCCAAATGCAAAAGGAAGTTATGAACAGAGGGTACTGGCAAACTTGGCCTTAACAAGTGTTCAAAATATTGTGAAGTCGTAGGCTTTCATGGCCGGCATCCATAGGTTTTTTGTGGGGGTTTTTTCGGGCTGTGTGGCCATGTTGTAGAAGAGTTTCTTTTTGACGTTTCGCCAGCATCTATGGCTAGCATCTTCAGAGAAAACTGAAATGGAAAGGCCTGGGTGTATATATACTGTGAGACCCTGGCTAGGGAGGAGTGGTTCCCAGGTGAACTGTGTGTTGTTCTGTGTTGAATGGTTATTGTACTGTGTTGATGGCCTAGCTTCAGGCTATGCAATCCAGGATATTGTCTGCTATTCCCATGTAAACTGTGTATTGTTCTGTGTTGAATAGGTGTTGTTCAGTTGTAAATGGCATGGCTTCCAGATGAGGATATTCAATCAAGGAGATTGTCTGCTGTTGTCTGCTGGGAAGC